AATCCCTGAACTTTGGGGAAATGGATGCAATGTCGGCCTAAATGCCCCTAATAGCATAATTTTCAATAGCGACCAAACATATCCATAAGTACCGTCCGAATTACGCGTTCATCTAGATAAAATTAATAAATAGCAGATTTTTAGCGATGGGCCCAATCTTAGATCCATAGGCCAACATTAGAGCCATTACCTCTATATATGAAGTTTTATGCAGCTCCTCAGGATGCTACGAAATTCCCAAAAATTCTACAAGGTTTGCTGCACTTCTACGATTTTCGTTGATTTTCCGCGAAGATCCACGTATGGAATTACTTGAACTTGTATGTAATTTTCTGAACTATTCTAAGCTCATGAGGATTCAAGAAAGTATTCTGAAATCAGATGAAGATCACCGAACAATAATGAGATTCCCTGAAATTAAATAAGGTTTAACTTTTATGATGATCCCAAAACATCAATAGAGTTCCCACTTCTACGCAGTTTTCTGAACTTTTCCAAAGCTCCCTGAGTTTTTCTGAAGCTCTATGAAGTTCTCAGAATTTCTACTAAGATTGCTTAGAAACGAGCCCCTTAAATTCTGGTGGTGGAGTTCAACTTGTTGTTCGATCAGTCTTTCAATCTTGGCAGCTCCATCCACCTAGTTGTACTGGTGTCGAACAACTGTGAGTGTCAATCTCTCTACAATGATGAATGCAAATGACGACATCCTCATAATTGGTGATTTCAATATATCGTCTATCAAATGGTCCTCGAATGACGCCGGGTTCCTCCATACTCAATCCAGTTGCTAGCGCTAGTTAAGCGTCATCCACCTCTGCAGATATCATTGAAATTGAACCAAGCATTTTCATTTCACTATGTAACACTATGGATAGCATTTCATATGACTACTGGATGTTGGGATGACTGCCTTTTTCGAGCATAAACTGCGATGAAGAAGTGCGTGATCGTGACTTAAATGTTTCCTGAACTATTTTTACGAATATTGTTGTTTATGCAATCGATCAGTTCGTACCGAAGAAAGCTCCAGTCATACCAATTCACCCTCCATAGTCAAACCCTCTTTTGAAACGTCTTAAATCATTTAAACGGGCTGTTTTGCAAACTGTGAACTGACGTGTCGAGAAAGAAATACATGCGCATTAACAAGCAGTACAAGCAGCTCAACAAGCAACTCTACCTAGACAACCAGCGTCAATTACAAAATAAGCTCAAAACTAATCCTAAAAGCGTCTAAAATCAAGTGAAAGGAATCGAGTCTGCCCTCCACGATGTTCAACGGGGATCGAGAAATGTCTAATGTGGATGGTATCGCGGATCTATTCAGGTCACATTTCTGCAGTGTTTTCGTCAACGAGGAGCTCTCTGACGAATACGTTTCAGATGCTGCAAGTGAGGTGTTGAATCTTATCCACCTTTATCGGTGGGCAGGGCTTCGCTTAAAAATTTCTTCCAGCAGAGCCAATGGAATTTCATCTGTGATGATTAAAAACTGTATAGGAGTCTTGAGCGCACCACTTTCATTCATATTCAACCTTTCGTTGAATTCTGGAATCCTTCCTGAGGGCTGGAAGAATTCTTTAATAAAGGCGATAAACAGTCAGTAATCAACTATCGAGGCATTGCGGCTTTGTGCGTAGTTTCAAATCTTTTTGAGATGATTTTCAGTGGAAATTCCGTATCAAAAAATTGCTCACCGAGTTCTTTTTTTGCCGTTTGACGACGACGGGTTTGCTTTCACGAGAGTGACGTTTATTGGATCCGTTTCTTTGTACGGGTGTGTTTTTTTGTAACCAGCGGTGTGTAAGTGTGCTTGTGATTTTCATTGCCTCCCAGGAGGCCGGTTCAACGTGTTCGGATGTCACGCTTTCGGCGTGTAGTTCTATCGAAAGTCTCGTCATCGTGTGCGAGTTTGAACACGGTACAGTTGGGAAATTAGCCGGGGAAGTGCTGATAATGTATCCGACGCGAGTTTTGGTGGAGATACGGTGGCCGATGTGGCCGAGAATCAGCAAGTTTACGGCTTGCAAAATGTGTCAGTCTGCTAGTCTATCGCCAGTTTTGAAGATTGAGAGCAAGCTGAAGGATGCTGGTGGCCGTGAATGTTACCTAGGGAAAGCACTAGACGCGAACCTCCTCCCAGATGACCATGACCATGACCTTCGTAGTCGCTGTCGTAATTGCCGTCTTAGCCGCCGTAGGCAGTACCGTTAATATATTTAAAATTAACCATCAGCCGCTGAAACTAAATGAACTATCGCGTATTTCTTTTGTTTATTACATACCTAGTGAAAACTCAATCATATTTGCCGTGGTTTTGATATGCTCGATAACCCTAGAGGGTTATGCTTAATGAGCAGAATATCACGCTCTCCCACTACATAATAAACCGCCATCGTTGGGTTCCGAGAGCATAAAGCGCAATTAATAACCAATAGTTGAATTGTTTAAACCATGAGTTTTGGAAAGGGTGTATGCGTGAGCAAGTTTGGAAGACATTGTTGGCTGCGTTCAGAGACGTCGCTTCATTTGAGTAGCTTTTCGTTAAGTCGGTTGTAGATTGTGGTAATGTAAGGGGCACGATGGATATGGAGCAACCGTTATTGCTTAATAAGTAGAAGGTCAACCTTCTGTTGACCCGATTGTTGGTGGTATGAAAATGAATTATCAGTTCTTCGATTATGGAACACTTTTAGGTTAACATTATAATGATTATCTTTTCTTTTCAGCTCTTTGATGAAGGAATACCTTTCACGGGAGGTCAATCAAGTTCATGCATGTTTTTCATTTAGCTTCTACCAAAGCCCTGACAGGTTCGTGTTGATGTCAAGCAGACCGTCTACAATTATAATTATCACGTAAGGAGGAAAGAGATATCTGCGATGGGTCGAAGAAAGTATGCGAAAGTATATGCTCACAGCTCGAAAAAGAAGTGTAAATTTCTGTTCAATATGATGCACATAAAAGGAGCGTCACACATCATACAAGTTTACATTATAAATCGTGTATAGTTCTGAGACATTTCATGCAATGTAGTAAATATTGTATACAAAAGCCCAGCTTTTTAAACAACATTGCTAACAAGTTGTCGTTTGCGTGAAATAAAATACAAGTTTCAACGCATGAATGTTTGCATCATAATTAAAATTCAGATTTTTTATCTGTGCTGTTGGTGCAGCTCCACTTGGTTATTTGGGTGAAATCAATCCTTTTTATTTATTTAGACAGTAACCCCTCAATATCGTTAGAACATCAATTCATCATTATCGTTTACCAAAAAGCAACCCTGCTGCAAACCCTACCCTCTTACCCAACATCCCAGTTATTCCTCGTGAAAGTGCAGAGGATTTCTCGGCTTCCATCAAGACGAATTTTACGTCAACACACCTACATACCCCTTCCTTTCTTGACCAGCGTTCGGGCGCGGCCAGCGCTGGTATTGCCTAGTTTGAGATCACCAGTTTTTTCACATTGAGGATGACTGCTAGTCCCAAGCATCGTCAATTGGTTCTCTGTGTAATTACAGCTGATCTGGCAATAACAGAGTAGCAACCGTGGGCGGTCAATCATGCTCACGCTCATGTTCATGCTCAGTAGAGTATCATCATAACTCTAATGACAATTGCTTAGAGCTTGTGTGGAGAAAGGAAAAAAAATCTGAGAGGAATCATAGAAAACTCTTAAGATGAATTTTAAGTAACGTTGATGACAAATGCAAGCGAGAATGGCTGGGAGCATTTGCAAGTAAATCTGAGAAGAATTCTATGGTTATGCTGAAAAGAAATAACGCTATATAATGACACTATATTTTTATAGTGAAGATACCCAACATCCTATTGCATGTATGTCAATAGTTCAATTTACCATAAATGTTATGGTCGATAACCTTTTTATCAGTTGAGATACGCATGTCGCCTGCGAAGGTCACCGTTCAGTACGTGATAGTTTACGACCAATCACCAGAAGTCCCAGATAATGATCTGTCGTTGGTATAATTAAAAATAGTGACGACTAAAGTCATCATGAAATGGGATATAGATCTTGGAATCCTAATAAATTAAAAAATTTGATGATTATTACAAAATACTCAAACAATTTTAAAAACCAAATTCTATACATACCCAAATATAGTACCCATTTTAAAAATGTAGGCATTTAATTTAATTTTTGGAAAAATATTAAAAAAAGGGATCGAAAAATTTATCAAAGACCATTTTACGGTAATCTTTAAAAATCTGTCCATTCATTGCGCAATTCGTTGATTCTTATTTTTTTAAATAGGTGACAGTTTGAAAAATCTTTTAAAAAATTCTTAAGCATTGCACATACAATTAAAATCATTTTTTTATATTCTGAATAATGGGTATTCCATTTTGGTGGGCACATTGTGCCAATACTTTTCCTCATTTTTAAGGATTTTATCAATACTATCAACAATTTATTTTTTTAAGAGGTTTTAAATTTAAAAAAAAATCATTTGCCTCTAATGGCAGATCATGGATACAGGTAAGTAGACAGTTTTCCGACAGTTTTCGTAGACTGGCCAGAAAACGAGCAGACGTTCCACAGGCAACACTGGCATACTTCGCATTGAGGGGGGTTGCGGGTACTTCCTAAATGAGCGTGCGTGAGTTTGGTATGTCCAACTCTCAATTGGGATAAGATCCTTTGTTCTTTCCGCTTTTTTCTGTCGAATTGCTTTATATAATATATCCACACTTATAATTCCTAAAGTCTTCAAAAAAATTCTGGTACTATGAGTAAATCCAGAGGATTATATTGTACGATATTTTCTTCTTCGGGAGATTTGTACATCAATTCGATTTCAATAGCCTTGTTTAAAATTGAATTTTTCAGAGAATTCTTGATTTTTAAAGATTCTATATTGTAGCTGAACCAAATTTCCCTGAAAAACACCTGGCAGCGCTGGGCATAAGTGTGTCGATGGCTGTTAATACTACTACCGCCACTCAACCAGAAGGTGTGTCACAACAGGTTGTTTTGACTATGCAAAGCCGGTTAGAGTGTCATCGTGCTAGGAATATTCATCATACTGATTAATTTCTAAGTTTCATCTACAAACGACAGCTAACGGAATACTTGACAGCTCATTTTTTATCAGAACCTGCTACCTTGATTTGTTTTTGGAGCCAGTAAAAGTGTTGTAATGCAGCTTCCCTTCTCTGATCAATTCGATAGGAAAAATTAACCTTCATTATTTCGGTTTATATATTTCGACTGGCAGCAAGTGGCGGAACAGCAGAGGCCTCTACATCTACGAATACCATCGAGTCAACGGAGACCAATAATTAAAACCAGTTTTGCTTTTCGTTTTTCGCGTGTTTGGATCGCCTCAAGTCAAGGTCATTCCAAACTGGAGACAATCACCCCGATCTGGCTGGTATGCTGCAGTTGTGGGGATGCAGTTTTTGAGGAGATGCACTTTTATGTTTATACGAATATCATGCAAATGTGTGAGATGAATGATGCAAACGGAACAGGCGAAGACATGGGTATGATTCGATCCAATCGACGCCGTCACGCCGCCGACGGGGATGTGCTCGTACTATGTGTGAGTATTCATTTGACGAGGGGTATGGGATTGTTTTGCTCGATTCTACCGTGAGACCATGAGGATTGTGACCAACTTGATGAAGGTCGTCCACTGCCTGTATAAAGTAGTGAACTTTATGGAATGCTTGAGCTCATTAAACGCGATACAAAATATATCAATTTTTAACTGTTATATGATTAACGACAATTAAGCGATCTACCGTTATGATTTTTCACTTCGTAAGAAATGCATCAGTGTTTGCACAGTGTCTGAGAAGTGTCATAAAATTTTGGCGATCCTAATTCTGAAGCAAACTCGCAGCTTTTAAATATCAGAATAATTTACTTGTGAATTGGAATTACCCTCTCTGGTATCATCAATCATATCGAAGGTGTTAATCAAATTAGAATATTAGCATGTATCCATGACACGTTTCATAGAATCCACAAAGATCCAAATGAACAGACGCTGCCGTAACAGTCTTCTCAAAATATTGATCTTCTTCCACCAGACAGGTGTGAATTGGCTTGACTGTCAAGAACTAATCAGAAACTTCTACAAGTGCCACAATTTTACCTTTCCTTACCATCGATATCGCTAAGGAGCCCAATTGTTTTTGTAAATAATTAGAAGATATTGAGAAGCACTCATCGGTAGGATGATCGGTAGAACACGTATGTGTTTGTGAGAAATTTTTGCGAAAAAATCTTCGGCAACCGGTGGGATTTGAACCCACAACCCAGGGATTTGAACCCACCAATGTATACTACCGCTAAGGAACACGAAATATTTGACTAATGACGTGTAGGCAGTCTTGCTAGATTTAAATGGCATTTGTGGGTTCAAATCCCACCGGTTTCCGTAGATTTTTTCGCAAAAATTTCTCACACACGCACACGTGTTCTACCGATCATCCTACCGATCATCCTACCGATGTGATTCATGATTTTTCCATAGAAAAAATACCTGAAAAATCCGTCTATTTGTGAAAATTGATAAACATTTTGAGCAACAATCTAATAACATTACGTAATAATGATATTTGCATTAGGGATCTAAGGAAAATAGGGAATTCAATCATCTTACAGAAAACCCCTGAGAGAAAAAGTATCTACATATACAGTTTATGTTTACAAATTAAATCATTAATTATTTTGGAGAAAACTAACCTTGATTTTTTTGCGCAGAAAGCAAGTGGGAAAGGCTAAATGCTTTCCAGCTATTTTTAGGACATCATTTCAGCATTCTTTTGCGGGGGGTGACACGTTTAAGTTTCAATCCTAACATGTCCGAAAATCACACGCCAGCAAATCAATCGATTTTAGACCTAACCTATACCTAATCCCATGACCGGTCACAATTTCTGAAACAACCCCCTCCTCCTTCAAATGCTACGTCATTTATAGATGTCGGGGTATCATCGTTAAACTCACTTTGGGTCATTACTTATCTCAATGCACCACGGGACTGACATCAAATGTTTCCACTATGGGATTTCACAAATTTGACAGTACCCTCTTAACTGGTCACTACAGTTATGGCCCATAACAAACTTGAACAACACATACAAACTTTGCGGCTGTAATGCATGTTTTACAGCTGTTGCTTACACCGCATGTGTTTGTTTTACGTTGGTTGTAAGTGTGTGAGTGAAAAATAGCAGCCAACCAAAAAATACTGGATTAGCAGCCCCTTGCAATGCACGTACTATGTTTGAGTCACATCCCCGGAACCAGTAGACCAATTCCAAAGATATTCCATAGCGTTATATGGGACATCTGACCTTGAATTAGGCTCAAGTTTAATTTGATTAAGTGTTGTAGGGTTAACTACCCCATTCCCGGCCTATTAAGCACAACCCGTACTTAGTCTTTCTTAATCTAGCGTAGTTTAGCACCAAACGGAATGTTATTATAACTCATGGCTTCTAAATTTATTTACCTTTCCGTACGTACCATAAGATTTCATGAAGAGAATCAAATTGTTGAGATATTGTTAAAAGTCTAACACTGCTTCTTGACGCCAAACTCGGCCTACGGATTCTAAATTCGGCCTAACGCATTGAAACGCATTCAAACGCCATTGAATTCCCTTCGGCCTATCGGATGAAGATAAAAATTGAGTCGGTCGGAGCGCTTCTTTTGTTTTTGAGAAAAATGGGTGTAAACATTCATATCACGCGCTCTCATTGATTTCGTTCGATAGCTTTTGAACTAAAGCAGCGTACCAAACGCATAATTGACTTTTTAACTCTGAAACAATGAATTTATGTGATGTTTTCTGATCGATAGGCCCAAAATGGGTGATTAGGCCGAAGTAGTTCTCTACCCTATATAAATGAAAATCAAGGAACAACAAATAACAAACCGCTATCAAAGGCATTTTGACAGATCAAGTATGCAATGAAAATAATAAACATCTTAAAATGACAATACGTGCCACACACCAACGGTTAAAACGTCACTAGGGTAAACGCACATATAGTGGAGGTACGTTAGTTAATATCTAAAGAAACCTTTAAAATATCAAATACCAGTAGGGGAAAGCAGTCACCAGACAGGTTTGTTCAACAATTTTTCATTTTGTTCAGTGAAAGTTACGAACAAGCCCTTGACTCCATTCGAATGGCATAGGTTTATTGATGACTTGAAAAAGTTTCAGGTGGATTGGTCATTTAGTTACTAGCAGAAATCTAAAGGTAATTTTTTGTCTCTGTGTTCCTAACTAGAAAGGAACAGTGAGACAAAGAGTCTTGAACATTGCGACCCATGTTTCAACTTTTGGCTCTACAAACATAATTTCTCAACATTTTTCTGCACAGCAAATTGCATTTTATCGGGAATCAATTCAAGTTATTGAATTCGTCTGGTAAAAATTTAGATCAATACATGGTTCCGGAGTTATTCCGGTTTTCTCTTGGGGTCACTCTGCGCGGGCATTTGGATTTACTGTTATGTAATAATTATACACACGATGAACAAATACTTTCTCACTCAAATGATGTAATTGGACCAATGGCGGCTATAACGATGGTCTATGATCACAATGGGCATCCCGGAAACTGCCCCTGGGGAAGTGGCTAATTCTCTAAAACCCGTCGTGATACATATCAAACTTAATAGTTTTTCAATACTAAGCGGGTAATGGCTTTATTGACTGTCCGCGGTCACATTGGCCATCCCGGAAATATTCTGGTGCCCTCGGGGAAGGGGACAGTTCTGAACCAGAATTAAAACTCGTCGTGCGACACATCAAACTTCATGATTTTACAAAACCTGGCTGGTAGGTCCGTGGTCTCACTATCCCTCCGGGGCATGTTCCGATACCCCCGGGGAAGTGGCCAATTTTCGATGAAGAACCAATACTCGTCGTGCGACATATAATACATCATGATTTTTTAAAAAGCTCGGCATGTAATGACCTTATTGAGAGTGCATGGTCACATTGCCGGATATGTTCCGGTGTCCTCGAAGAAGTGGACACACATCAACCTTCAACACGGCCAGTAATGGTCTTATTGAGAGTCCACGGTCATATTGGGACTCCCGGGCATGTTCCAGTGCCCCAGGAATGTTCTGATGCCCCCGGGGAAATGGAAAATTCTCGACAAGAACCGTATCAATATCGATGATGATATCACATTCAAAACTTGCGTCACCATTCCTGACGAAATGACAACAGCCCAAGTAACAATTTTAGTTTTATGAGGGTTCTGTAGACCATGATTTGAACTTGTAGAATGCTATAAAACCTCGATAAAACCTGCAATGTTTCTTGGGAGAGCACATTTGGCACACAGATTAAAACGTCGTCCATCTGCTACTCGAATGAAGTAAATTTTAATGAAGATTCCCGATCAGAAGGGCATCACAAAATTATTACACAATTATATTAATGGTTGATATTTATATCAACGTGTGTTTTGTTTTGATATATTAGTGAAAAGTGGTCTGTGCGAGGTTTTCCTCACATCAGAATTATAACAAAGTCAGTTATAATTTCTATCAATACATAAAGTCTATATTAATGATTCTAAAATATAAGTTTTCCAATATTTTGTTTGATTTTGATTGACGATCATTAGAGGCATCTGCGTATAAATAATAAGAAATAATAAGGTTTTCAATTGATTGTCAAACTTTATTTGCAATTAATTATTTGACTTAGATTCGATAAATGTGAAAAAGAAATGGCATAACCATTGCCAGAAATATGGCAATTTTTATATCTAACTTATAACAACGGTTGTTATAGATGTATAGTTTTGAATGCGATGGATTATATCTACTTTTGTAATATTTTCAATATAATCATATCAACGTCGGTTATAATTTTGTTACCACTAGATGAATTTTTGCTATTTTATTTTCTTTGATTTGTTTTCCGTCGATCTTGTTTTCCGTGCTGAGCATCAATGCTACCGACGCCAGGGAGGCAGTTCCCGTACGTGGACCCTACCTATCGACCCATCAACTCATGAACCGGGGACCAACGGCTTTACTTTCCTTCCGAAGGAAGGCGTGATCAGAGATGTTATGCCTTAGAACATCCCGGCGGCGCCGACTGGGATTAAACCCAGGCCTGCTGGAGTGAGAAGTAATCACGCTTACCACTACACCACCGGCGCCGCTGAATTTTTATTAGGATTTCTGTTATTTTAACAACTAACCAGTCAATGTTTATAACACGTTATGTTACAATTTTTTTTAAGTTCATAACTCTAGTTGTTATAATTTTATTATGCCGTTCTGATCGGGTTACTACGCGAATTTTATCCTAAATCACTCCATCTCCTTTCCTCACCCGCAAATATTGACAGTTATGCCGGTTATGTTTTGGTCTCTATTCGTTCCTATCTGTTTCATTCTCATGGAGAAAGGAAAAAAGAGAACGGCAAAAAGAGCGATTAGCTTTTGCGTGTAGTGCTTTATTGAAGCTCTGATGCTAATTTGAAAGCTCCTGCTGTTCGTTTACGTTAAATAGGGATAGTATTCTAGATCATTACCATGTAAAGTATG